TTTTAAGAAAAGTAGCACTCTACCCAGGAAGATATTCAAGGATATATTTATTTGAGCCTAACATTTTAAGTCCCTGTGCTTGAGAATAAAGGTTTGGTTGGTACTCTGTTGGTGGCCCTGAAGTCCTTCATCTGTGTTTGCCGATTAGATCCTGCAAGAATAGACTTTGTGTGGGAATATTGGACTCTAGCAGAGACAGGTGTCAAAGGCCCAGATTTATTCTGATCGCTGACTGTGAACACTTGGGAGACTCCTGATCACGCTGACCTATCTCCTCCTGTATAGAGAGAACAGACTACCACAAGTTCCATGCGATTTGAGATGCAGAAACAAGTGTAGAACCAACCAACACAGAAAGCTTGTGTTCCTCTAAATTTCCTCTGTGTTTTTACTAGACAGCAAACAAATCCTCAATACCATTCTGTAGGTCTGGTTAAAAACTTTGATTTTTACCATTTAATGTAAAAATGGGACTTTGTGTATTTTCCCTCCTGCCTATCCTGTGCCCCTTTCAGGCCAGTCCCCAATGCCCCTCTCCACCTCCACCCCTTCAGGTCAGACTCTGAAGTGCCACTCAGGGTGTTTTTCTAAAGCTTCCAACAGTTCCCAAAACAAACAGTGGAGGCTGTTACGGTCCGGTATTCACTCCGTCGGAGCAACGGTATCTCCCAATCCCACAGGCTTGCACGGCCATTGGTGGCAGGTCCGTTCCCTAAAAGGCTCGCGTTTACCAATCTCTGAGCGCTGCCAGGTTCTGGAATCCGGGCTTTGAGCACTGATGGTCTGCACATTTCCACTGGGAGGGAGGACATCGCAAAGGGAAGGGAGACTAGACTCCAGAAGACTTTGGCTCCAGCTGGAGCTTCCTTTCCCTTTAGTCTACTCAAGGACAAAAGTAGACGTATACATAAAAATTATTACACACAAACACACACTTTTTTGATTGTCTGAATATAGATCCAGAAATTGTTTTTCGGATTTGGGGGATTTTTCCACTCTCCCTTTCATCTATCCTCTGCGCCCTCGATCACACTCCCTCCCGGATCAGGTTGAAACTCTGCTGCGCCTTTTCCTTCGCCCCCTGCAGGGATGGCTCTGAGCTCTCGGGCGCACGCCTTTTCAGTGGAAGCCTTGGTGGGAAGACCCGGCAAAAGAAAATTACAAGACGCTAAAGAGGAGGCGCAGCCCGAGCTGCTGGAGAAAGAAGGCAGAGAGGAGGAGAGAGAGAGCCGCGCCGCAAGGAAGAAGACAGAGCAGCCGGGTAAGTTCCGCTCCCGTTGTCCCAACTCACTGAGTCCGCCACGCTAGAGTTTGCCGGAGCCCTAAGTGTCAGCCTGGTCTGCGACGCCGGGACAGTGGTTTACTCTACAAGAGGATGCCCTGTCCCAGCTGGACGACCACCTGCGCACCCATGGGAACCCTTTTGCCCCCGGGTGTGGGGGAGCTTCAGAGCTTCAAAGTTCAGTCCGTAGTTTTGCAATCCGTTTGCGGCAAAGGGGAGGGTGCCAGTCTGCGGGTGGAGAACTGAGGCTCTCCAGCCTCCCCCAAGCTCTGCGATCCCGAGACAGCTCTATCTGGCTAGCAGCGGGCATGCACCGAGATTCCAAGGGAACCGAAAGTTTCTAGGAGAGTGAGGATACGTGTGTTTGAAGGGCCATGAACTTCACTGGACGCGCCTTGGGTCCCTTTCTCTCAGTCTGGGGGGTCACAGTGGGTGTGGTAGGGATTTGGGGAATCAGCCGTGGAGATTCCTGGTGAACTGGTCAGGCCGGTCCCTTCCAAGACGGGCGTGAGCGAGAAGGGGGCGCGCACACTGCGTGCTTCTCTGACTCTCCGCCTCTCTGTGTCCGTCAGAAAAACTACCAAAGACAGAGCCCTCAGTAAGAGCTTTAACAAGTTGTGGAGATGGTGGCGGAGACCGCGACAGCGTCGACAATCTGGAAGAGAAAGAGGCGATTCAAGTGGAGCTTCAAGGATCCGAGCTGTGGAAGAGATTCCACGAGATTGGGACTGAGATGATCATTACTAAGGCTGGCAGGTTTGCCTCTGCAAAGGCTGTCCAAGGGCCACACACAGTAGGCGCTTAATGTACCTCTCACTTCATCCCATATGGTGCCTCCAGTGTCTGAGCCTCTGCTCTTCCCCCACCTCTGCACCCTGACTTTAGAATGCTTCTGCCTTTCTATTGACCAGACGTGGGTGAGAAACCTAGTCCATGCTAGTGGCTCAGCCTTTCTTTCCTGTACACGCGGAACTCCTGGCTTCAGAATCTCATTCTATCAGTTTCTGGCAGGGTTGTATGTGAAAAAAGTTAAACCGGCCACACCAGGCACCATATGCCACTCCATAACTTAAGGTATTGTTAGGCCTCTGGCAAAGCCTCACAATTATCAGTGGACAGCATCTCACTTAGCAGACTCCCAGTCCACCATCCCTAGCCCAGGTAAATTTGGGGTGGGCCTGTCCCACTTCCACGTTTGCTGCGGGTCAGCTTCTTCATGTGAGCTGTATAGTGTGTGTGTGTGTGTGTGTGTGTGTGTGTGTGTGAATCTTAATTTCAGTCTTTTCCAAATCTGCTTCACAGGAAGTACTACTGAAAACCTGGAGGAAGGTCACATTTTTTTTTCCTTTCTACTTTCTCTCCTATAGATTTCCACTGCAGTGGGGATGGTGGGGAGGGGGGAGGTTGGGAGTGAATAAAACCTTGTGGTAAGTATTCTCCTCCCTTCAGAAATCCTCAACTTGTTCAACTAAGCATGCAACCATACCTTCTTATGTAACAAATATCATTTTCAGAAACTGCCCCAGAATGGGCAGTGCACTGTGTATTCATTCCTTCACTCTCTACTTGTCCCCAAGCCTATCCAATTTCAAATGTCTTGAAAAGCTCCCTGGTCAATCGCTCTTTTCTCTTCCACAGGCGGATGTTCCCCTCTATTCGGGTCAAGGTGAAAGGGTTGGACCCAGGGAAGCAGTACTATGTGGCCATTGATGTAGTGCCTGTGGATTCCAAACGCTATAGGTAACCAGTCCCGAAGGAGGAGGTATCCCAGGTCTAGGCTAGAGGTGACATTCTGACCCATGGACCAATTTTTTTGAAAACTACCATGAATGATTGGATTGCTCTCCTGGGTGCTTTGGGAGTTGAATTCTCTTTCTCAAACCCAATTGAGAAAAGAGCAGATTTGTTCCTCTTTCCTCTGACTTCTGGAGAAAACTCAGGTGTCAGTATGTTCTTCAGAGTTCCTCCAATCTCTTGCCTAATCACTGCTCTTGCTTTTTCTGTGCAAATTACAGAGGTTTTTGCTCTGTAGGAAGAAAGAAAGTTGTTTGAAACTATGTGAGGAGAAATTCCTGGGGTTCTCATATCACAGTGGGCTCTGGGTCGTGCTGCTTTGACAGCAGTGACCTGTTAGTGATACCCTGAGTTGCCATCCAAAGCTAATCCAGCAGTTATCATTCCCAGGTTCATTCTTTTTTCTCTCTCTCTCTGCCTTAGCCTCTCTCCTGAAGCCGAGGATGAGCTCTTGGTGTAAATAAATTCTTTACTTACAGCAGGGTAAATATGGTTGACTAGCCCTAAACCCAAGAGGTCCTTCCAGTCTTGCAGTACAGAAACATCTGACTGGCCAGTGCTTTCATTGAGGGGGCTCTGATGTCTGTGAAGGAACCTCAGAGCTGACCACTTTGGGGTTGTGAGTGTTAAACCTTTGAGTGTGTATCCAGCCTTTGAAGGAGACAACCCTCCAGGTTTGAGGTAGAGGAAGAAGACAGTCTGCTTCAGCCTGAAAATACCAGGAAGAAAATAATTTGCTTTTCCTCTTAGAGCTGCTTTGGCAGTGTTGCATATAATTGTGCTGTTGAGACTGGAACCTGTGAGAAAATCAGCCCTGGGGCAACATGGAGTAGAGTTCCTGGGGGTGTTCAAATGAGAAGCCTTGTTGATGAAAAGCTTTGATCACAACTGGAGGCCACCAGCTAGGCAGACACATTTCTTCCCTGAAGCTTCTTGCCTAAGCATGAGAGCTTTTAGGTCTTTATAAGTCTTGGTGCTGTGAAATGTGTTAGATCAACTTTTGTGGCAGTTTTCCTTGAGAAAATACAACCATAATGAAATTCCATGGCATTTTTACTAGGTATGGGAACTCACTGCTTTAAAAAAAAAAAAAAAATTTTTTATTTGTGCATACAGAACTGGGGTACAGGCCAGAGACTCAGGGGCGGTGAGAGGCTTCACCAGAGACAGAGTGGGGAGCAGAACAGGCAGATCTACGAAGTACACTGCTGAGGGGAGCAGCGGGCAGGTCAGGAGAGGTCTGCCGCGCCATGTGGTCACCTCCAGGGCAGGCGGGAATCGAACTCATGCGGAAGCGGCTTTAGATTCTCAGTGCTGTGTTTTAACACGCTGCGCCATCAGGGAGGGCCTGTAAACTCACTGCTTTTTAATAACATGTGCTTATTTACAGTTTGTTTTCTGTCCCTGAACATTTTTTGGAAGCCAAGTTAGATCTCCTACTCATAGTCTTTAGAATTAGCAGACAAATCTTATCCAAGGCCCCCAGGACCCCATGGTGTCCAGCTTCAGCTCAAGTTCCTGACTTTGACTGACTGCACCTAATGCCACACTCCACATCTTTTCAGATACGTATATCACAGCTCTCAGTGGATGGTGGCTGGAAATACTGACCACTCCTGCAACACTGCCAGGTTCTATGTCCATCCGGACTCACCCTGCTCTGGAGAAACCTGGATGAGGCAAATCATCAGCTTTGATCGCTTGAAACTCACCAACAATGAGATGGATGACAAAGGTCACGTAAGTGTGAGCAATCCTTTGCTCTGAGGAGGTAAGGGAGGTGCCAGCTATTCAACTCCAGGGTTTTTGCTGGATAATTGAAGGAGCCTCTGTCAGATGTGCATGCTGTGTTCTTCAGGAATTCTCAAGTTTGGGGCCTGAGGCCTGTAGCTTTTGGTGCTGGGTTTGTGAACATACGTTTGAAGATGCAATGTGACTTTTTAAAGTAGGCTGCCTTGTCTGGGAGAGTGGAGGGGATTCTTCATGGGGTTTTCTGGCACCTCAGCTTCTTGGACAATGATTGTGGGCTGGGATTCCTTTCCCTAGTTGAGCATCTTTTGTGTGGCCTCACTATCCATTCCCATAGAAGGACTTTTTGGGTAGCATGTATCTTGAGCTTTCTTTTCTGGTGCAACACAGTTCATGGCCTCCCTGGCCTGGACACAAAATGAAAGAGAGCTCACTAGATTAAAAAGTGGGCTATGTCAGATAGTCGCCCATCAATTACAGCTCATAGTATTTATGACAGGTAGTCAAATCCCAGGGACACTTGGGTACATTTCATGGTCACCTACATTTAGAAGTAGGAAATTATCTTACCTAGAAATGGAATCACTGCTACCTGTTGTTGCTGTGGTACCCCAGTGAATCTCTTAGCTCTGATGGTCTCTGTCTGGAGTCAAATGGCACAGGAAAATCCTCGGGTGTAATTAGCTTAGGTTTGATGGCTTAGTCTCACTTTTGTGTGTGGGCAATTTGGGGGCATTGATGAGAGGGGGCTAGTGTTGTGAGGCAAAGCCAATTTCTAGGCAGCATTTGACCATTTCTCCTCCAGATCATTCTGCAGTCCATGCATAAGTACAAGCCCCGTGTACATGTGATGGAACAGGACAGCAGAGTTGACCTTTCCCGGATTCAGGCCTTGCCCGCTGAAGGGGTTAAAACGTTCTCCTTTAAAGAAACTGAGTTCACCACGGTCACAGCTTACCAAAACCAGCAGGTAAAGCCAACTAGGTAGCAGGCAAGCAGGTATAGCTCCAGTGGGATCTTAGGGATAGAGGCGAGCTGAACTTCATGGATTGAATTTTCCATGATTAAAAAAAGTCATAATCTTATTGCATTGTCATCAAAGGCAAGTTTAATTATGAATTATGTAGTTCCTGTGTTAGAAAGTAGAGCAGAACAAAAATGCTAGGAGATCGCCATTCCAAATGTGACTGAGCAATATATTTACATTTATTTAACGTGAAAAGTGCTTAGTGTTGTAGCCGTTAAAAGTATCGGTGACAGGGCCTCCCTTGTGGCACAGGGCTTAAAGTCTGAGCACTATCAAGCTATAACCAACCACTCTGGCACTAGTTCGATCCCAGGCCAGGGAGTTAACCTGCATGATGCAGCACAACTCTCCTGTCTTACCCACTGCTCCCCTCAGCAGTGTATTTCAGTGGATCTGCCTGTTCTGTTTTCCACTCTGTCTCTGGTGAATCCTCTCACCCCCTTGCACCTCTGGCCTACACCCTAGTTCTTGATGCATTAGTAAGTAAAATAAATATAAAAATAATAAAAACAGCAGTGATAGTGTTAAATACTGAGGGAGCTAATTATCTTTGTCTTCTGATTCCACAGATTACCAAACTGAAAATAGATAGGAATCCTTTTGCTAAAGGATTTAGAGATCCTGGAAGAAACAGGTAACCAACATAACAATCACATCTAATATTTATGTTGCCGGTTACACAAGTTCTACAGATAAGAAAACCGTGGCATAGAAACCCAGAGGTTCTAAACTTTATAACTAGCAGCTGGCATAAACTTCTAGATAGGATGTCTCTAAAATCTTGCCCTATCCCAATCCCTCTCCAACCCATTGCTTATTCTATCCTGGGATTTTTATTTAGGGAATGAAATTTTTATTCTGAAGTCTAGCTATAAAAGAAAAATATTTCAAATAGTAACCCCTAAAATCAGGAACAAATTAACTCGAAAGTTTATATAAATCATCATTTTCAGGAATTGTATTCTGGATTTGCTGAACTTTGAATCTTTTTTCAGGGGTGTGTTGGATGGACTTTTAGAGACTTACCCTTGGAGACCTTCTTTCACTGTAGATTTTAAAACTTTTGGTGCAGAGACACAAGGTAAGGAAAGTTTTATTAATTTTTAATTTTTAAATGTTAATGAAATTATATCTATATCACATGTTACAGAAAGGAATAGGTATATGTTTACAGGAGAGCAGGTTTATATTCCTTGTGATAAGAAGTAAGAAGAGAGGGAGGGAATCTGCCATGCAGGAAACAAACAGAGCCATGGAAATGGTATATTATTTGGCCTCCATCTTCTTGAGTAATCATATATCCTGGCTCTCACTTGAATTCTTCAGTATTTCACTGTCTCATATCCTTGTTATTTGCCTATTTGTGTCCTTATTTGAAAATGTGTTACATAGTAAAGTAAATATTTTAGTTTTATGGAACTGCCAGCACAAGTTAAAATTACTTCCATTAATTTTTACCTCCACCTTGTTCTAATATTCCTTTTGTAGAATAGGAAAGTAAATATTTTTTTTTAAAAAAAACAACTTTAAACCATTATAATAAGCTTAACTTTCACAAAGATTTTAAAATATTTGCAATGTATTCATTCGCAGGTATTGTATTAAATGTCTAAATAATAATAATTAGAACATGCAGATTTTGTGGTGGGAAAATATATATAGTCACTTACTCTGATATTGAACAATAAATAGAAGAATATTTGCAAGCAAAATATAATTCTTGTAACCCTTTTGACTTCCTTGATGTTGTCTGCCTCAGAAGATTAAATCAAAGTTATATTTATGGAAATATTTATCAACATAGAGTTAGTTTGAGTTATACATAATACCATAACAATGAAATGAAATATGAAGAGATAATTTTAGTCTTTAGGGGAAATATTTCACTGGATTAATTGTATTAATTTGACTGAAAGAGTTAGATATAAAAAATGAACGTTTATTTTATAGAATCACTTTAACTAATGGTATTTAGGCAGCATGTTTTTAAATATCCAAGTCATCACAAAGTACACAAAGAAAAAAGACTAAAGATGATCATTAATTGATAATTTATTATAATGCAGTTTTCTTATAATTTAAGCTGTTCAAGCTGCACTCCAATAGCAAATAAAGAGGTACTGTTTTTTTAATCTTTTTAAAAATCATTATAATAGTTTATTTTTACGTCATTTTGTGCCTTTTTCCTTCTCAGTTGTAATCCCCGTGGACTTCCCATCACCAATTCACCTGTGTGCCATCACCATCATCCCATGTACTCCCCCCACATTGTTGTTCCCATTCTCCACTCCACCCCTGTACATGTCTCTGGTATATAGCTGTTCATTATCATTCCCTTTCCCTTCCCCGGTCCTTTATGTCCCTGCTATGAGTGAAACCATACAGTATTTTTCTTTTTCTTTCTGGCTTATTTCACTAAGCACTTTCCCTTCCAGCTCCAACCATGTTGCTGCAAAAGGCATGTGTTTATCTTTTTGTTTGCTGAGTATATTCCACTGTGCATATACACCACATCTTTTTAATCCAGTCATCTACTTTGGGGCATTAGGGTTGACTCCGTATCTTTCCTATTGTGAATAAAGCAGCAATAAACATGGGGGTGCAGGTATGTTTTTCAATCAGTGTTTTTGTGTCTTTTGGGTAGATACCTAGGAGTGGGATTGCTGGGTCATATGGAAGCTCCATTTTTAGCAGTTTGAGAAACCTCCAAACAGTTTTCCATGGTGGTTGAACTAGTTTGCATTCCCACCAGCAGTGCAGGAGAGTTCCTTTTTCTCCACATCCTCTCTAGTTGTTTGAAGATGATGCAACACATCTTTTTAATCCAGTCATCCACTTTTGGCACTTGGGCTGTTTCCATGTCTTTCCTATTGTAAATAAAGCAGCAATAAACATGGGGGTGCAGGTATCATTCTGAATCAGTGCTTTTGTGTCTTTTGGGTAGATACCTCGGTGTGAGATTGCTGGGTCATATGGTAGCTCCATGTTTAGCAGTTTGAGGAACCTCCAAACAGTTTTCTACAGTGGTTGTGCTCATTTACATTCCTACCAATAGTACAGGAGAGTTCCTTTTTCTCCACATCCTCACCAACATTTGTTGTTGCTACTTGTTTTACGATGTGCCATTCTCACTGGTGTGAGGTGGTATCTCATTGTGGTTTTTATTTGCATCTCCCTTATTACAAGTGATGTTGAACATTTTTTCATATGCTTTTTGTCTGTCTGCATTTCCTCTTTGTAGAAGAGTCTTTTTAGCTCTTCTGCCCATTTTCTAATGGGGTTGTTTATTTTTGTTGAGTTTCATCTGTTCTTTGTATATCGTTGGGTCAATCCTTTATCGTTAGTATTGTGTGAGAATTTTTTCCCAATTGTTTGTTTTGTGTAATGTCTCTTTTGCTGTACAGAAGCTCTTTAACTTGATGTAGTCCCAGCTGTTTATCGTTTCTTTCACTATCATTGTTTTGGGTGCTTTATCTTGAAAGATGTTACCAAGGTGTATGTTGTGTAGTGTTTCACCTATCTTTGCTTCCAGGTATTTTATGGTTTCTGTTCTTATGTCTAGGTCTTTATCCACTTCGAGTTAGTTTTTGTGCATGGTGCAAGGTAGTGATCTTGTTTTGTTTTGTTTTGTTTTGTTTTGTATGTAGCCTAAGAGGTACTATTTAAAAAAAAAACAACTTTGGAATGTTTACTTATAAAAATAGTTGCCACGTTGTTCATAAATATTTAAGCTATATCAACATACACAAAACAGTTTATTAGAGAACAATGCTGATAAAATGAACAAACCTAATCAGTAAACATACAATACAAACCCTACACATATCCCCTGACCACATTAAGTTAAAAATGTTTTTATAATTCAAGCACAGATATAAGGTATACAGTCAAGATTTCCCTGGACTGTACAACCATCCCTAATTTCAGTAGAAGTTAGGCTAACATTGGGCCCTCCCTGTTGGCATAACGGGTTAAAGCGCAGCACTGCAAGCGAGCCGCAGCCACTTTAGTGAAGGTTCCATCCCAAGTCCCGGAAGTGATCTACATGGCCCTACAGACCTCTCCTGACCCACCGCTGCTCCCCTTAGCAGAGTACTTTAAGGATCTGCCTGTTCTGCTCTCCATTCTGTCTCTGGTGAATCTTCTCACCTGCCCTGTACCCTAGTTCTGTATTCACAAATCTTAAAAAAAAAAAAAAACAAGTTAAGCTAACATAAAAGTTCACTTGATATGAACACTTTCATTTTCATTTTGATTATTTTAAGATTTATTTTTATTTATTTATGCAAGCTGTAGGCCAGAGGTACACGGGGATGAGAGGATTAAGCAGAGACAGAGTGGGGAGCAGAACAGGTGGATCTATACTGGAAATACACTACTGTGTACATGGAAATACACTACTGAGGGAAAAAGCAGGTGAGAAAGGTCAAGTCTGCTGTGCGATGTGGGTCACATCCCTGGCCGGGGGTCAAACTCAGGTGATAGCAGTGATAGCTCTAAGACTTTATACTTAAGCCACAAGGGAGGCCTTCTGGATCATGTTTAAATAGGTTTCTTTTATAATTCAATAGATAAATGACTTTCAAGTGCCTAGCACATTTCTTGAACATAATTAAATGCCCAAATCATGGTAACATAATATTAGTGCTAAAAGATAGTGGTTGTAGTAGAAACCATGGTTAGCTTGGATCAGAGGAATGAACATATTCTTTCCAAAAAAAAAAAAAATTAAAAGAGCTGTAAACTTGTATGGAAAGCTAATCTAGGAAAGAAGAAGGGATGATTATGGACATGATTACTGATACAGTTTCTAATTCATTGAATTGTCATTCGCAGGTGGAAGTAGTGGTTCATCTCCAGTGGCTTCCAGTGGAGGGGCTCCCTCTCCTTTGAACTCCTTGTTTTCTCCATCTTGCTCCCCACCTACATTTCACCACTTACCTCCAAGTTCCATTGGAATGCCCTGTCTGGAGGCATGCCTGCACAATATCAACCTGCCCCATAGTTACAAGATTTGTCCATCTAATTTTTGGCAACTGCAGCATCTTTTCTTGCCTACTAGTGAAACACTAGCAAGTCGCAACATTTGTAAGTCTTTAGCTCCATTCATGATGGAAGTTCCTATGTTTTCTTCCCTGAGGTTTGCCAAAGCAAAAAATAGTTTATCTGAAGACTTCAATGAGCAGTGTCTACAAGCATCTAATTCTGCCAATCAACTGCTATATGGACTACAGTCACCTGGAAACATTTTATCACCAAACCCCATTGCACAGGAAGCAATTGGTTGTTCTTTCCATCCTTCTTATGGCTTTTATAGATACAACTTCTGTGCACCATCCTCATTGGCAAATGTTGTGGACCACCTCAAAGTGAATGATAACAATCAAGTTTCTTTTAGAAAAGGCAAATGTAATCATGCTCATTGGTATCCAACAACTAACCATTGCCTTTAATGGAATAGTCACATTCCTAAAACAATTACACATAAACACATATTTTCTTTAATTGTAGCCAAAGAAAGATCAAAAGCTATTGAGATTAAAAGACTTCACTATCAGTGAATATTTCTCTGCTATCTATTTAAAGTGTCTTATCAAATGTTCACAAGAAAATGTTATAGGTCAAAATAATAGCTATTATAATCTCGCCATAGGTCTTCAAATAATATTCAGTAAATATAGAGTCAATGAAAATGAACTCTATGAACTCTTCAAATAATATTCAGTAAATATAGAGTCAATGAAAATGAACTCTATGAACTCTTCAAATAATACTCAGTAAATATAGAGTCAATGAAAATGAACTCTATGTGACAGAATCTCTAGGTATAAATAAGGCAATTTCTCATATCAACTTGTTAATAGACAGGATGAGGGCATCCCAGGATCCCTAATTGCTTTTTAAATAGATAATGACCAAAAAAAATAAAAATGGTTTTAATGCCTATGAA